ATCAGCCACTTTTACTACAATGATATATATATATACACGAGACAGGGTTTCTCTGTGTAGCCCTGGTTGTCCTGGAACCTGCTCTGTAGACCAGGCTAGCCTCCAACTCAGATATATCCACCTGCCTCTGCCTCCTGAGTGCTAGGATTAAAGGCATGTGTCACTACTACCTAGCGACAAACTATCAGTTTAATTTTTATTAAATTGAATACACGTAGGTATTTTGCTTGCTTGTATGTTTGGGCATCATGTGCAAGCAGTGCCTCTGAAAGCCAGAAGAGGGCACCAGATACCCAGACCCTGGCGTCACAGAGGCCTGTGAATCACCAGGTGAGTACTGGGAACCAAAGCCAGGTCCTCTGCAAGAGCAGCCAGCACTTTTAACCCTTATCACATTATCTTGCATTCTTCGGTGAAACGGCTCTGTGGAGGTGAGATGAACGCAGGAAGCACACTCAAGCATGTTCACGACATAACATCAGAGCCACACCTTCCTGAACCCTGAGAGCCAGTGAATGTATTAGTGGAAGCAAACATCAACTTCTTGGTTTCAACTTGTTTTAAACTAAACTACTCCACTGGGCAGGCGTGGCTGCACATATCTGTAATCTCGGTAATCAGGAGGCAAAGGTTTGGTAGCCACAAGTTTGGGGTAAGCCTAGTCCACATAGGTAAGGAACTGCCTCAAAAAGACAACCAGAAGACAGAAGCAGATGTCCTCGCAACGCCTGCCCACAGGGAAGCTGGACAGAATGTAGGAAACTTAAGACTTGATCTATGAAATATGAAACAAAGGAGCTGAATTCTGTTCACCAAATGCCTAATTTCCCTATACATCAATATTTCTCTCTGGATAATTTATTTATTGCCTTTAAATGAAGTGTGTTGCTTTTCTGATAAAGGACACTGCTCACTCTGTGTTTAAGATTCTCAGCTGAGACCCTGAATGCCAACAATATTCCTGGTATTTATTCAAAAAAGCCAAATTGGGGCTGAAGAATTGGCTCAGAGGTTAAGAGCACTCGTTGCTATGGCAAAGAGCCTGGCTTCAGTTCCAAACACCCACATAGTGGCTCACAACCTTCTATAATTCCAGTTCCAAGGGATATATCACCTTCTTCTGACCTCACGTGTAACTGGTGCACATACATACATACATACATACATACAAACATAGATGCAGGCAAAACACTCATACATATAAATAACAAAATTGTTTAAAACACATTAGGCAACTATCTGACTGTGACGTATGTGAGATTATACATGCCTAGAATCCACACAGTAGGTCATGGCCATTATTGTCTTTTTTGTTTAAATGTGTTTATTTTCTGTGCTTATGACCAAACCCACAGCCGCACATATACTAGGCAAGCACTCTACCATTCTGCCTCCCCAGCTCAAACTTACTTGTTCATTAAAAAAAAAAAAACAATAACAACAACAAAAACTTTGGCTTGCAAAATGGCTCAGCAGGTGAAAAGATTTGCAATACAAGGCTGATGTTTCAAGTTCCATCCAGGAACAGAGGGTAGAAGGGGAAAAAGAAAAAAACTCTTAAACAATTTTCTCTGACCTATGCCCAGTCATGGTACACATACCTGTACCCATTCTTATTTCATTTTATATTTTCATTTTAAAATGAGGCACGGTTACATCCTTGCCTATTAAATAGAAAAACACCCACTTGGCTCTATAATGTGATCTCCTTTGCTAAATCTCAATAAAATGAAAATGAAATTTATGCCCTGGCCATGCTGAAGCCTTCATGGGCAGCCTGTATATGGCGGCTCTGTTGAACTTGTCCATATTAGGGTTTCATGATCTAAGTTGATGAGGATGACTGACCAGGTCTCTTCTTCAAGAGGGCACCAGATCTCATTACAGAAGGTTGTGAGCCACCATGTGGTGGCTGGGAATTGAACTCAGGACCTTTAGAAGGGCAGGCTGTGTGAATATTCCTCACTCCAGCTGTGAATCCCCCTGTTTTCTCAGGGTAGGTGCTGAGACTTTCATTTAATAAGAGACCAGCGGTTGAATGAGTCTAGCAAGGAACACTGACAGAGAAACAGTAACTTCTGCCTTAGTACTACCTCCAGCAACTGTCAACAACCTCTAGCAACCGTCATCAACCCCGCCAACAACCCCCAGCAACCGCCAACAACCTCCCTAAAGAAGGTTTGCTCTGCCATTGACAGGACTGTATAACATTATCACAGTTTGCCTTGAGAACAAGACCTGTTCTGCAGAGAACACATAACAATACTTGTCACACACAATTTACCATGGGGTTGATCCTGGATGGAGCCCTTCTCCTCAGCTGGACTGTGCCCAGGGGGATGGGTACCATTTTGTGGAGGTGCAAATTGGTGATTGATAGTTAATTGATTTAACAAGATACACCCACCATCCTTGGTGGTTACAGTTTGAGTTTGTTTGTTTTCTTTTCTGAGACAAAGTTTCTCTGTGTAACACTGACTGTCCTGGAACCTGCTCCATGGACCAGGCTGGCTTCCAACTCAGAGATCCACCTGCCTCTGAGGTCTCTCAAGTGCTGGGATTAAAGACCTTAGAATAGTTACAGTTTTTTTTTTCCTGTTTGTAACTTCTGCTGGGTGTGTGTGTGTGGGGGGGGGTGTTAATGCTAATTTAAAAAGTATTTACAAAGAAATGCACTTGTTGCTTACTTCATTATTGTAACAAAAAGTAAGAAAAAATATTAGACAAACATTTAAAAAGTTGATAAAGTCTAACAAAGAACTATGGAAATAGGCTTTCAAGCTAATAAATTCACATTTAATATCAACATAATTTGCTACCTAGTGTATATGTGTGTGTGTATACAATCTAAGTTAATGGAGGCAGATGATTTTAGAAAGGAAAGTGGTCTCCAGCCCTGAATTTCCATAATAAATGGTGTTAAACAGACGCATCCAGATTTTATTAAAAGCATTAAATCCAGCCCTGCCTGTCAGGGTGATGAAAGTCCTTTAACAGATGAACCGCTTGGTAAAAAGCCCCTGGGGACCCAGGCTAGGTCACAGGTTAGGTTTCTGGGGACCACATCTTGATTTCTTTTCCCTGGATTGGATAGGGCATCCATCAGCTGGGCCTTTGGGCAGCCAGACAGCACAACTCGACCTCGAAGCTCTTCCGCTAGGAGTCGAGGCTTCATGTTCAGTTTGTGCTCAAGACGTTTTTTCCCCCTACAGTCACGAAAATGTTATTTGGGATTGGAAAAAGCAAGACTAAGCCATCTTTATATTAATTTTTTTCAAATGTACACAAATATAAATCATACTAGAGCATAGATTGAAGAGTTCCATAAACTCTTGCAAGCAACCATGACAAACCACACTCCAAGCACAAATTAAGACAAAGCCGTGACAGGAGTGACAGGCATTTGTACAAATGAGTCCCAACACACGAAAAGCAAATTCTTCTAAATAATTACTGATTTAAAGAAACACAAATCCAGTTTCATGGTTATTATTATGGAAATACAGAAAGGTTTAGCGCAAAGAAAGTACAGAATTAAGGAACACCTCCCAGTGATCAGTGACCAGGAGAACAAAGGAAGACACAAGCCTTGAGAGATTAAAGAGAACCACCTGCCCAAATAACAAATAACCAATTGGCTTGAAAAAAAGGTCACAATGAATAAATGCACTGAACAATGACAAAACAACAACAACAACAAAAACAGAAATAACAATTTTAACAGCTTCTCAGAAATTTCACCCAAGAGTAAATAGTTACAGGGAGACCGGATGCAAGGAGGAGCCAAGGAGCTGTTCCAGGCCCATAAGTCGAGTAGACACCAGGAAAGGAAAGAAGGCCTTGGAACAGCGGCAGGGAGGCAGGTGGCCAGCGCTGGGTCAGAAGCCACACCCTATGGAAAGAGACACTGCACCAAGGGTCTCCTCAGGCTGAGCCGCTGGTCCCAGATGAAGAGGACAGTTAGGAGAGCCACAGGAGCTGCTTCCTGGAGGGAGCGGAGCCCTGACACATTTCTGAGGGAGAGGAGAGCAAACTCAGCTTTAAAAATGAATCCATTTAGTAAAATGTATCAAGTTTTTAATCTGGTTACAGTTTTGTTTGGTTTTGGTTAGACAGCTTCTCACTCTGTAGCCTAGGCTGACCTTGAACACGCAGTAATCCTCTTGCCTCAGCCTCCCAAATGCTGAGATTAAAGGCAAGAGCGACCACGTCTGGTGTACAATTTATTTTAATGTTACTTCTGACCCTATAATTTTGCACCTATAAACACATAGTAAGGAAATAATAAAATACATCTAAGATGTCTTGGATGTTTTGAAACACATCCAAGATGTCTGCTCTGTTGGTGAACTGCTTGGCGCTTAAGCGTGGGGACCTGAATCCGACTCCCCCCCCTCCCCCCCGCAACTAGTGTAAAAGAGCAGAACACCATGCCAAGAGCATGCCTGTAAACCTGTTGCCGGGAGGACGCAGAGACACAAGATCTGTGGGCTTCCCTGGTCAGCTGGCCTAGCCGAGTTGGTGAGCTCTAGGTGCAGCGTGATTGACAAAGACGCCAAGATAGACCTGTGTGCTTGTGTGTGACAGTCAACCCAATGGCTTCAGTCACTGATTTATCTTGACAAGGACCAAGTTTTCAGAAATTTGATTCTTCAACTACTGTGCAGACATTACACATTTAATGAAGGGAAAGTAAAATTATATTTATATTGAAAACTAGGTAGGAAGTTTAAAAAAAAGTGACTGTAGAATTTAAATGGTTTCACTTTTCATTTGAAGTCCATCTGGGAAGGCTTATTTTTTTTTCTTTTACATCAACTTTTTTACTTGGGAGCCAGGATGCACGCCAAAGCCTATGGAAGTCAGAAGACACTCAGGAGCCAAACCTTTCCATGCCTGACTGAGTAATCTGCAGCTATAGACAAATGACAGGGTCTCTGACAGCCCAGGCTACACAGCCCAGCATGGCCCTGAACACTGATCTTCTGCTTCTAACTCAGACGTTTCTCCAGGTAACCAAGATTTACCAGGAACCAGTTCGGCATCAAACCTCCATGAAGAAGAGACCTACAGAAGTTCCACTTCCGGAAGAAAAGGTATCCATGAAGAGTAGGTTTCACACTTACCTGGCTTCATTGTCGTTGTGCCTCCTAGCTAAGAGACGCTTCAAAAGCATCAGTTGCTGGGTGCGATAGACCAGAAGGGACTTGGAAGAAGAGTTAAGCTTTGAAGAGAAACCTTTAAGGCCTCTAGGTGCACAGAGCTAGATGGGAGCGACAGTCAGTTGCACTCACCTCCCCATTGTCAGGGTTCCGGGCGACATTCTAAAGTCGGGGTGCTACCATTTTCTTGTGGCCAGCAGCCACAAGCCAGCGAAGGCAGGTGGGCATGTAGGTTCTGTATATAGTGAGTAGTCTCCAGTTACTAAAATTACAAAAAGGGTTGCCTAGCCACTCTTTCTGGTCTTCACAAGGGTCATAGGTGTGGGACCCAGCCACGATAAGCTTAAAAGAGGCCTGAGTCTCAGTAGTTTTCCCTGAGGCAATACCTGGTTGCAAGAAAGACCACAAACTGAGACTACCCAGGCACCACCCAAAAACAGACCATCCAAAGGAAATTCCTAACGTTCCAACCATTGTAGATAGGATCACCTGCCAGCACACACCCATCGCTTTTGATCGGGACACCACTAGACAAATGCCACCCAATCAGGACTGAACCTGTTTTCCCAAACCGTGCTAACGTAACTTTCCTGGGTTTTGCCTTTAAATAGTACTGCCCCCTCTCAACTGCTTTGCTGCCGAAGTTCCTGCCGGCTTGAACTTGTGTACAAGAATAAACCTTGCTTTTACATTTCAGTGAGTCAGTTTCCCTGGAGGTCTTTTGGGGTCCCCAATGGGGACTGGGCATAACAATAGGCAACACAGAGGAAGGCAGGCTTTGTTCCCTTTTCTCGGGATACTCTGTGTAATGGGAAGGTCAGCCACTGCCCAGTTTCCCCAGACTCCTCCACACTGAAGGCGCAACCACATATGCGCTACACAGTGATCCCCTCTTGAACCTGTGTGGATGAGAATGAACTCATGGGGAGACGCTAAAGGAATGTTGTTGATGGGCTCATTTGAGCGTATCTGACAAGGAAAGTTGAGCTTAGATCATCAGCTCTCACCTGCCAGGAATTTGGGTGAGGAAGCAGAGGGAAGCACCAGCGAGCACGGGGGGGGGGGGGGGGGGGGGGGGCATCTGCTGAAAGTGTGTGAGGAGATGGAAGAGGGGTTACCAGGGGCAAGGCTGGGTGCAAGCTCAAATTCTAGGACTGCCAAACTGTTGGACTGAGCAGAAGGTGGAGCACTGCATGCCTTTTCGGCTCCCGGAACACTTAAAACACCGCCTTTTCCACATCCTTGTGTTAGCAGTGTATTCTAGTTTAATTTCTGTTGCTGTAATAAGCATTCTGACCAAAGCAACTCAGGTATGGAAATAATTTACTGTCTTACACTTCTAGGTCACTGGTCATCACAGAGGGAGGTCTCGACAAAAGCTCAAAACAGGAACTCTGCTCTCAGACTCACGCTCCTCCAGCTTGCACCTGCCCAGGGATGGTACCACCCACGGTGCGCTAGGTCACCCTACGTCAAATAATTATTAAGACACCCACCCCCACCAGCTCAGCCACGCCCACAGGCTCATCTGATCAGTCTTTTTTTGCAACCAAGGCTTTTCTCTCCCATGACACTAGGCTGTGGTAAGTGGACAATTAAAGCTAATTAGGGCACTGGACAACTATGTGTACTTCATGCTGTTAACATGAAACAATCAGACCATGAACCTCTATGTACACAGGCATGTGTGGATCACTTGTGCAAACTGTCCAGATTGAGGGCGTGGCTCAAACTGCTTTGTTGAAGGTAAAGGTATAATAATTTTTAGTACGCTTATTCATATCCATTCTTTCCCCTCCCCGTGTGTGTGTGGTGGGGAGGAAAACCCACGGCAGTTGGTTCTCTCCTTCCACCATATGAGACCCAGGAACTGAACACAGGTCGCCAGGCATGGCAGTGCACTTCTTTGCCTGCTGGGCCACCTCCGGGGCTCTCAAAATGTTTTTATACTTAGAGCTGACACAGAAACTGCATTTTCTGTCACACTGAGTGTCGGGGTTAGGACACTTGCCAAGAATCATGACAAAGACCCTGTCCTCAAGGAGCTCATGGGCCACAATGTGTAACAGAGAAGAGCAACATCTGTGACTCTTCCCTGGAGCCCAGCAATGGTCTCTTAGCGCCTATGTGAGCCCTGCCATGGGGCTCTTACACCATTTTCCAGCAACAACATTACCACTGCTGGAGCATACTGCTGGGCCAGTGGCCCCTAAGCAGCGCTGGAATATACTGCACTTGTTCGATTTCTTCTTAGAGGAGCCATCGTCTAAGAAAGCAGGCACAAATACAACTACATTGAATTTCTTCGGTGCTTTTTTCACCCAAAGGCCAGGGATAAGAAATGAATTATTCTATTCTTATTGATATATATACACATAATAATCATACTGTCCTTAACTCATCGAGTACTTACTTGAGAAGTGGACTCGCAGGCTTCTCTCTTGGGCTGCATCTTCTGAGTGGTAGTGAGAGAAGGACCCTCCAGAAGAAAACCTCCACTTCTATTCTCAAGCAACAATGCAGAGAACTGACACAATGTCACTCAGCTACACAAAGGCTCCTCAGACTTTCCAGTGAGAGGAGCACTCCTTATTACAGACCACACACAATGCACAAAGGGCGGAGACACAGAGTTGCCATATCGGGAACAAAGGGACACTGACTTCCTAGCACATCAGAGTGTGACAGATGAAATGAAACAAAATTTCTTTTTTTTCCCCCCTTCAAGACAGGGTTTCTATGTGTAGCCTTGGAGCCTATCCTGGAACTCACTCTGTAGACCAGGCTTCCTCAAACTCAGAGAGATCCTCCTGCCTCTGTCTCCTGGGTGCTGGTGGGATTAAAAGCATGTGCCACCACTGTCCAGCCAAAAATCATTTTTGATAAGGGTGAGTAAATCAATTCTGATACAAAATTGCATTCCACTGCTCTGAGAGATTGTACACAACGGAGTCACAGGTCATAGGCCTAGATCTATTGTAAGAAAAACAAAACAAAACAAAAAAAGCAAAAATCATATGTAAACAGATTAAAAATCATCTTGAGAACACCAGCATGCAGCAACTGGAATCAGCTGAAATCAACCAGCCTCCAGATTCCCATTTTAAATCAAAGAATAAAAGGGTTAATCCCATAAAGGAGACAAGTACATTTTTTCAAGTAGGAAAAAAAAAAAAGCAGATTTATTGTTTCATGTTGTGAGAAGCTGACTTTGCAAACTCCGTTTTAAAGAAGGGGCTTTATCTTAAGCCATATAATGGGGGGGGGGGGGAATGTCAGCTCCAGAAATGTGCTGCCATAGCAGAAATCTGAACAGATATCCAAAAAATGGCCAATTAAGAAGACAGGGAACAGGGCCATAAAATTTAACAAGGTCCAGATGTTCGTGGGAGGCATCCCGTCCTTGAAGATACCTTGTCAATTATTAATGGCTCTTTGTTAGGTTTTCACACCCCAAAACTGACCAACTGGTTCAGAAACTACTTTATCCTATGTACTCCTCACCTGATCCCAAGATGACAGGACTCGAACTCCCCTGATTACAGCGTTTTCCCTTTAAAAGTTTGCCCCTTCCCCGGGTTCGGGGCTACACTTCCGTCACCCACTGCGTTGGCGTGGTGGAGGTGTGGTCCAAACTCCAGTTTGAATATTATTAAAAGCCCTCATGCAATTTGCATCAGAAATCTGGCGCCATTTGGGGACCAGAAACTTGGGCATAACAATGTCCCGTCAGGCTGCAGCCCCTTCTATTCTCGCATTCATTCAACAAATGCGTAACCAGCTATGAGCCCAACACTGAAGCAGTAAAATTAGAATACCTCTTCCTGATGAGGCTTATTAGCTCCTTTGTCCATTAGGAATGTTCTAGGAGCTGATGATGACAGCCAATATCCATGTGGGGTTTACAGATGAAAAAGTACCACACATGCGCTGCTGCATATAATTCTCACAGTAACTTTGTGAAATGTGGTAACTGGTTGTTTGTCTCATTTGCGCAAGGCTCACGGAGGTCCAGTGCTCACGCAGGCAGTATGGATGGATCTACTGCGTGGAGAAGCCCTGCCTTCCACACTGTCTATGCAGGCTGAGCCTGGGGGCTGCGGGGATCAAACATCAGCAAAATGATCCTGAACTTATGCCTGATTCCAGTCTCCCCAGAAGCAAAGCTTACTCGATACTGGGATTGTATAGAAATGCAACTGATTTATTTCATACAAGACTGGCATACACACCTTTAATCTCAGCACTCAGAAGGCAGAGGCAGGTGGATCTCTGACTTCAAGACCAGCCTGGTCTACAGAGCGAGTCCCAGAACAGCTAGGGCTACACAGAGAAACCCTGTCTCAAAAACAAACAAACAAGCAAGCAAACCCAGATGAGGTGGTCTCGTCTCTAGTCCCAGCCCCTGAAATGTGGAGGTATGAGATTTCTTAGGTCAAGGTCATCCACCTCCTTAGCAAGTTCAAGGCCAGCCTGGGCAACTACAGGAGACCCCGTGTCTCAACTAAAACTGAAAATTAACTAATGAGTTAAGAAAGACTGAATGGTTAATTACTGTGTGACATCTCTGGAGCACTACATGAGACTGCCCCTGTGCCTCTCTGTGCTGGTCGATGTCCACAGTGCTCTTCGGATGTAGCAATCTCCTGCACTATTTTTCTAAGGACAGATGGTTTTGGATGCATATAAGTGTTTTGTCTATATGTCTGTTCAATATTTGCATGCAATAACAGTAGAGGCCAGAAGAGAGTTCCAGGATTCCATGGAACTGAATTTACAGACTGCTATGAGTGTGGGAATCTAAACATGTCTCTACTGATAGATCTTAATTAGATACAAACTCCTACTATGCCATCTCCGACTTGGGGTACCAGGCTTAACAAATTCTTTCCTATCACTGGTAAGGTGTAGCGGCGGCGAACACGCCCCCTAAGGGGCGGGACTTATCCCTACAGTAAGGCAATTTGGCATGAAATACCCAGAGCTGAAAGTAAGAACGAAAGAACTAACTTCAACCTGCATTCCATTTATGAGAATCTGACCATGTTCTTCATCAAAGATCACATTGCCCGAACTAAGATTCCTTGCCACTTGGTAAGAACTACACTGCCCATTTGACTGAATGAAATTCCCTGGGACTGGCATTACAGATGACTGTGAGCTGCCACGACGGTGTGGGGAATCTAACCTGGATCCTCTAGAATAGTAACCAGTTCTCTTAACCTTAAAGCTACCTCTTTATCCCCTAAGATAATTTTAGTAAGAGTACATTCATGTAAATGGCATTCAAGAGATTTATAAACATGAGAAGATATATAGGCCCAACCAAATGAAAAAAGCAACTGCTAATATTCATGATATAGATGTTTATGTATGTTTGCAAAGGAAAACCACTGTGTTCATAAAAAGAGAGGGCATGTTCTATCTCTCTCTCTCTCTCTCTCTCTCTCTCTCTCGTATTTGAACCATCCTCCCCCTCCACTTCCTTCACTCTCAGATTGTGCCTTTCCCCTTCCTTTCAGAGCACTTCTCTAGAAAATACGATGTGGGAGAGAGTTCCTGTTCACCAGGGAGAGCCTGACATATGTGCAAACTACACGAGGCTGAGGAAAGTTCCAGAAGGGGAGCGCTAGTGTTCAGGAAGGAATGTGTTGTCGGGCTTGGAGCACAGGCATAAAGAAGGCAGAGGCCAGCCTGGGTACATGATGGGACATCTCTGCATGTAAGGAAGCAACTGAGACCTCACTTAGGACCATCTAAAGCCTTCTGGGCCATGCTTAGAAAAAACCGAGGCATTTTCTACTTCAGAAAATTACTCAGGTTTGATCTCTTAAAAACAGCCATTGTCTTTTCCATCATTTGGTCTCCTGTCTTCAAAAACTGCCCACAGAAGTCTACAAATCAGAAAATTACGTTTTCTTTTTTAGACAATCTTTTTGAAGTTTATGAGGAATTTTGAAATAGATTGCCTTTGCAAGACCTTAAGATATGATGAAATTGGGACTGAACATCCAGCCTCAGTTCAAGCATCGTTCTTATGTGGTCACCTCCCTCAGCCTTGGTAGCTGCCAATTTTATGCATAGTTGTTTTGACCCTTCTAATTAAAAACCATCACCCTCGAGTTCTCTATGCTTAGAGAAAAAAATTAGAGGACTCAACACAAGTCAAAGATAGTGAATACTGTAAAAAAAATCAGCACGCAACAAATTAAATCAATGACAGCTGTAAAGATATTGCAAAAATGCTGCTCTCAGTGGCTTCGATAATTTTGGATAAATCTGTAAGGCATAAGAATAGGCCAGACAATTCTCAAGACAGCACCTAATCTCCAAGAAAAAAAGTTTAGTGCCTATCAGTAAGATTTCCCCAATAAAGCTAAGGAAAAGTACAGTTACCTGTAAAAATAAATAAATAAAATGAAAAAATACATGGACAAAATAAGTA